ACTCTGCACAGCCGCCGCCACCAGGTCTGGGCTGGCAGAGGGCACATTTGGAATGGAGGCTAATGGGCTGCTAGGGCACTCAAGCTTTTCCTGGGCCTGATGACAGCACAGCTGACTTTGGCCACAGAGACAGCTGACTCTGGCCACAGAGGGCAGCAAGAGAGTTGTAAGAAGACAGAGCAAGTGATGAGTTTGGTCTTGAGTTTTGAGTCTCTCTTTTTTAATGGTTTTGGTGCCACACTGGAGTCTGAAAATGACAGCTAAGATTCCTGAAAATCTTCAGCTACCACATCAGCCAGATGCCCGAGCTGTCTCACCATCTAGAAGGACAATGATGTAGTTTCCCAAGGAATTCCAAGTTCTTTTCATTGGTCCCTTTCCTCCGTGGCCCCTCCCACCCCACTGGCCATCCTTATCCTGCTTATCCTGGTTAGTAAATCTGGAGCTCAAAGAGCCGGGCACAGTAGTGCACACCTGTAATCCCAGCACTCGAGAGGCTGAGGCAGAAGGATTGCTACAAGTTCAAAGCCACCCTGCTTCATAGTAAGTTCAAGAGCATCCCAAACTACACAATGAGACTGTCTCAAAAAACAAAAACAAATAACAAACAAAAAACAGTGGTTTAAGCAGCAGGGCTCCCTTGAGGTTGTATCCATGAATAGGGCTATGGTGAGTGTGTGTGTGTGTGTGTGTGTGTGTGTGTGTGTGTGTGTGTGACTTCTGGGAGGATTTTAACTTACAATGAGAAGTGGAGGAGACATCTCTGGGCTAAGGATAAGGACAAACGATCAGGGCTAAGGATGCTGGGTTCCAATCCCAGGTCTACCACTTATGGATTGTGTGAAATCTCTGGCTTCAGTTTCTTTTTCTCTAAAATGGGATAATGGATAATGATGATACTTCTCTCCCAAAGTGACTATACATTCAGCAAGCTGATCTGCATGAAGGCCCTAGGACAGTGCCTGGAACTCACACAGCTGAGCTATCGTTTTCCTATCACTGAAGGAAGGGGTGGTCCCACAGAATAAATAAATATGACTGTCAAATACTCCCCTAAACACTGGAAAAGATTGAAAAATGCCTTTATAATGATTTGAGTATAAAATATAACTCTTTCTTATACACAAGCACAATTTGTTTAAGGTTTCAGCATGAATGAGTCTCCCAGGAATGCAGGCATGTGCTTGTAGAAGACACCGCTCACTTAGCTCCTCAGGTTTTCTGGGCTGCACCTGCCTCCCAGGCCCTCAGCTTCCTGTTCCACCTAACTCTGCAGGGCTTCCCAGCTTTTGGACTTGTGCCAAAAGCCATGAACCCACACAGCCCTCCTGTTTCTTTGAAAAGCCACATCCTAGGGGCTGCAGTCTGACTTCCCTATCTGCCACTAAGGCGCCATGTGACACAGTGAAGAAATGCGGGTGAGTTACTTCCCCAGGGAATGAGCTTCAGACCAAGGGAATCTGGATTCCCTGGTGGACTCATCTGAAGTTTGTTTTCTCCATGGCCTGGCCAGAGAAATCCTAGGTGATGCTCACCTAGCAGCCGAGGTGTCTTGAGCAGTGGCCCCAGCCACACATTGTCTGTGTGACTTCACCCTCACTGCCACACTTACCTTTTCTTTCACTCTTGCTGCCCTGGAACTGCACCTCCTTGGGGAAGCATCATCTACCTATCCTGGCCTCATACTATACTCTAGGCTCAAGCCTGCCTACAGGGAGAGTATAATTTCCAAGAGCAGTTTACCATTTCAGAAGAAAAAAAAATCACATAATCCAGGTCATCATGTTTAGGGTATTTAAGTCACCAAAACAGCAGGTCCCCATCCCTCTGCATCTGTAGCCATAGGATTCATTTGAGTGTAGTTGTGCCTGTGTATTTACTTATTGAACTGCTTTATTATAAATGACTTCCCGTTTAGTCCACTTACATAACAGGTAGTGCACTGCATTGATTTTTTATTATATATAAAGGCAGGTTATGTTGTCGATGAATGTAATACCATGATAATGAAGATGCTGTTACAAAATTTTAGTCATGCAAAGGGGAACCCGTGGTTGACAATGCTAAAAAACCTATGGTGGAGCAGATAGTCCCAAACTATCCATGGGCCACCGGACAGCTGTGTCATGGTGGACCAGACATTGTTCTCCATGGGCACGGGTTTCCTTCTCCACGAATCAAAGAGGTTGAAGGAGAGGATCCCTGGGGTCTTTCACTACTGCACCACCCTGAAGTTTAATTTTCATGGATGTTATCTGTTTTCATTGTTTTGGGTTTCTGCTAAGGTTATCAGAACTTGCCCAAGACTGGCAGTCAGTGAGTGGCAACCCACCTAAGTAAGTTAGACTCCATTCCTAAATCATACTTGTAGCATAGGAGCCAGAGGCTGTCGTCTGGACCCCCCGGGCTGCCTGGATGAGAGCATACATCTCCTTGTGCCCTGTGAGTCAGCGTACTTGTACAACTAAAGAGACAGTACCGTCCTAGGTCTCTATGTGTCTCCTAACCCTCGTCCTACTTTCTGTGTCCAGATTCCAGGGAAACAGCTGCCTGTGAACCTTGTCCCATCCCTGTCTGTGTCCCTCCAGGTAACGCTCTTGATCCCAGTCCCAGGCCTAACTTTCACATAAGAGAAGAGTTGAGGACTCTGGCCCAGGCAGGAGCCAGAAGTCCTTCCTTGGAGGGCAGGAGGCATGCAAGGCAGGCTGCTAACTTCTCTTGTGTTAGAGTGGGGAGTTCTTTTACTCCCTTGGACATGGGAAGTTGGGGTGACTAAGTTGCATCTTGTGGGATGGTGTCATAGAGAAAGGAATGAAGTTGTCCACAAATGGTACTGCATGGGTGAAACTTAAGAACATGATACTGAGTTGACTATTTATATGGCATGTGCAGAACTGACAAGTCTGTAGAGATTAGAGGTTGCTGGGGCTGGAAGTGGAGAGGAGACCGATCTGGTACAGGTTTCGTTTTTTGTTTTTTGGCAGGGGGAGTAGTAATAAAAATATTCTGGAACAGGATAGTGGTGATGGTTGCACAATATTGGAAATATACCAAAACACACTGAATTGTGCACTTGAAAATGGTGAGTTTTATCTGATGTGAATTTTATCTCAAAAAATGGCAAAAAAGAAACAAAAACAAGTTTTGTTCTATGTTTCCTACCATCCTCTCATTCTGCACATCCCACCAGTGTGTCCAACTCAACACTCAGGGAAACATCTGTGTTAATGGCACTTCCTTTCTCCCAGGTCTTAGGAAGAGAGTTGTGGGTCTCAGGATGCCTTTTCCTTACACTCTCTTACAAGCCCCCTTCTTCCCTTGCACTTCCTTCTCCAAGGTTTGGCTCCAAGCACGTCCTTCTTCTGCTTAGCACCTTCAATATCTCCTCACTGCTCAGCAGTATTTTCTCCCACTCAACTTCAGCAGGGCATTCTGCTCAGTCTCCGGACCCCTTCCTGCTCTGGAGCCAGTTCTGTCCAACAAGGTGGGAAGGGATAACAGAGTAACAGTGACAGGAGCTGTAGGAGGGTGACTCATTTCACCTTAAACATTAAGATAATGAGTTAAGGCAGAGCTGAAGTAAGTACTTGGCTTCCAGAAGGGAAAATTCCTTACAGAGTCTGAGAAAATACTGGCTCCCCACAAAGAGACTCAGCTGGGAAGAGAATTGGGGAGCTTTTTGAAGATGCCATTGTGACTCTACCCACAAAGACCCCCTGAGGGGAAGTTAAGTGGAAGCACCTGCAGACTCCAGCTGTCCCCACACAGTCATGGGCGCTGGTAGAAAGGAAGCAAGCACAGGCTGCCTCCAGGAGTTGCTGCCCCGTTTGGACACCAGTGGGGAAAGGGAAAGGCTCAAACAAGAGACTTCAAAGCACACAATGTCGGTTTGGGCTTCTGCATGTCAGGTGTGATACTCACTGTTCAAGTCCCTGATAATCACTCCATTTTCACAATCGCTCTGTGGGAGATGAACTGTGGTTGCTCTCCTCACTCTATAAATAAAGCAATGAAGCTTGGAAAGTTGTGGCATCATTCTGAAGGTTACACATGTCTGACAGAGGTCTCCAGACTCTGAGTATAATCTTATCCTGGGGTTAAGAACACAGAAGTCAAACCCCTGATCTCCTCTTACAGCCTGACAAGGGCAAACTAAACATGGCCACGTGCAGGGAAAGCCCAGACAGTAGGAATTCTCCAGTACAAGGGCCGGGTGAGTCTTCTCTCCTAGGCCTGTGAGGGAAGACCCAAGCAGTGCCAGGGTATCTGAGTTGATCAATGACTCATGCCAACTTCATGCAAACTGGAGTGAGGTTTTGAATGCTGTACCACAGGGTTCTTCCTCAGGCCTCAAGGGTCTTACATTTTTATCAGTGACGTGGATAAATAGAAGAGAAGTAGATACAATAAAAAACAAACAACCTGATGAATAAATGGACCAAAGACTCAGTCATTTCTTCAAAGAAGATATACAGAGGGCTAACAAGCTTTGGGATGGATGCTCAGCATCACTAATCATTAGAGAAATGCAAATCACAACCACAGTGAGAGATCACCTCATGCTCCTTAGGACAGCTATCTTAACAAGCAAAAAGTAAGCGAACAAACAAAACACCCCAGAAAAACAGATATTAGTAAGGATGCGGAGAAATTGGAACTCTTGGGCTTCATTAGTGGGAGTGAAAAATGGAGTAGCCATTTTGGAAACAGCAGAAAGATCCCTGAAAAATTAAAAATTGAAATACTACATGATACAGCAATTTCATTTCTAGGTACACAACAAAAAAGCAAAACAAGTGAAACAGGGTCTCAAAAAGATACTTGCACACTCATGTTCACAGCAGTATTATCCACCATAGTCAAAAGGTGACAGCAATCCAAGTATCAATAGATGAATAAATGGATAAGTAAAATGTGAAAGAGACATCCAATGGAATGCTATTAAGCCTAAGACAGAAGGAAATTCTGACACAGGCGATGACATGGAAGAATTCTGAGAACTCCAAATGAAATAAACCAGTTGCAGAAGGATAAACGCTGCATGAGGTACCTAAAATGGTCAAACTCACGGAGATAGGAAGTAGGATGGTGGCTGCCAGTGGACAAGAGGAGAGGAGAGGGAATGGAAAGTTATTGTTTAATAGGTACAAAGTTTTAGTTAACATGAAAAGAGTTCTGCAGACCAGCTGTACAATGTGAAGGTGACTAACACTATTGAACTGTACACTTACACACAGTTAAGATAGTACATTTTATGTTTTAGATGTTGTCCCACACTTTAAATACATGAACAAATATATAACATATGTATGACAAATTTCTTGGCAGGTAAAAATCAAGGTTGAAAAAGATATTGACTGTTGGAGTTGTAGAGAGAGCAAAAGGGTGTATTTTGTAAAGGATACATTTCCATATGCATGATCATCCTAGTGCCCAAAGGGTAGGGAGATATATAAAGAAGATCTGGGGCTGGGGCGAGCAGCAACCTCCACATGAATCAGACAACACATCCTCTCACCTGGCATGCAGAGAGAGCAGGCGAGCTATCTGGTCAGGCCTTCTGAGGATTTGGACTCCCAGGCTGAGGCGACCAGAGACAAAGGGGGAAAATAGCGGTAAGCACAGGAAAAGGAGGGAGGAGGTGCTTAACTTACAAGGCTGCCGTTTGGAACAAGTCACACCAGGTGTCACACCAGGTTTCACATCAGGGGTGGACCCAGGCAGGAGGGCACCGTGTGGCTCAAAAACAGGAAAAACTTTCTCACCCATACCCTTTCCATCCCCCTTTCTTCATCACAGTGACCAAACCTACCTCCTTGCCCCTCTTCAACTTTGCTATGAAGTTTAAGCAGTAACTTGAATCAGACAGGGCTGGGGCAGTCACCCCATCCAGGATCCCTCTTTTCTGCCCAGTAGATTCTGCAAAGTTCCAGAAATGCCTGGGAGGGTTGTTACTAAGGGAAGAAAATGATGATGTAGAGAGTCAGGACAGAGAGGATAGTGCCCCGGCTTGCTGCAGAAAAGGTTAGCTAAGGGGGAGCCCCTTTTAGGGGACTGAAAAAGAAATGAAAATGAAAAGTCCATCCTATGCCCGTGTGAGTTCCCTGGCTGCTCCCCCAGTTCACCCGTCAGCTCATCTCCAACAAAATGTTTCAGCTTGGTTTCACTGAGGGTGTGTGTGTGTCTGTGGGGAGGGATCTCCATGGCTGCTGTTGGGGGACCTAGTGGTTGTTCCTGAACCCTAAGTAAGTCTTGGGATGAAATAGCAGTTACAAATGGAGCTATAAAGCCTGATTAGTTTAACTGGGCTTTTTGAATAGAAAAAAATTAATTAGTAACATTCTTAAATTGGCACTGTCAGTGCTATGTTCCCATGGCACTTGGGCATAGAATTTAGGAGACTTGGGAGGCTCCAGGGCCTTCCTGAATCTCTGAAGTCTTCAGAATTGGGGAGCTTTTCAGCAGGTTTAAATAGTGAGGATTTTACAGGCAATTGGGGATTTGGTAGAAGCTTAGAAATGGCTAACAAGTTTCCAGAATTATGCTTGATCTAATATGAGAAATTACTAAGAATCTAATGGCTGAGGCTTTGCCCTGATAAAGCCCAATTTGCAATGAGGATCAGTCAGACAATGGAGCCTGCAGGGTCACCAGCTTGGATATGAGGATCTCAGGCTTAAAGCCCTGTCTCTTGTGGCTTCCAAGGTAGACCCTACTTTCCTGAACACACGATGCCCCGTTAACCATTCCTCAAAACCATGACGGCAAACACAGCAGATGGCATCACTCATCCTGGAGGCCCAGAGAGCCTCCAGCAGCTCTGGCGGCTCTGGGCCCGGTGTCAGGAGCCCTGCCCGCTGTGGGGGAGGCTGGGCGTTTCTCCACTGGTGCCCTTGGGAGAAGTAGGGGTGGCTGAGCCTTCTGGGAAGACTGCTCGTTCCTGGGAGGCTTCGGGAAATGTAGGTGGCAGAGTAGTCAAGTCTGCTATAAGGGGGAACTGGTTCCAGTGCCGATTCTGAGCTTCCTAGGCCTATGGAAGGGAACCCTCCGGGAACACGGCCGGGAAGCTGGTTTTCTGACAAGCTTCCAGAGGATTCGCGCACACTCCAGTTTGAGACCATCATCCACATGACAGCCCTACTGCAGGGGTCAAAGGGCCAGGGATGAATCAATTTTATTGACTTTTAGAGCTGAAGGAGTCATGGGCCGCCAGCTCAGCTCACCAGGCCCAGCAGCAGCGCATTGAATATTCACTTCCTCCTTCAGCGCTCATTTCCCCCATTCACCTGGCTGCATCTCAGGACTTGCAGTGAACAAACAGGCCAGACAAAATCCCTGTCCTCAGGACACCGCAGTTACAGATGACGACAATGCCTTAGATGCAAATAACACTCGGTTAGCATATCTTGTCACATCACAGTCACATCATGTGCTTCCGAGCCTTTGGTCGGATACAATATTATACCCATTTTACAGGTAAGAGAAAGGGCTTGTGCAAAGTCCAGAAGCTCACAGCGGGAGAACAGAGTATTAAAGGCGGCACCTTCTGTCCCCCAGGCTACCCAGTGGAGACCCACCAGGCCTCATCTGTGCAGAGCTGAATTCTCAAGCCGTGTACTTTTGGACCCCAGGGACACTTGGCAGTGTCTGGTGACAGTTTCAGTGATCACAACTGGGGGTGCTACTGGCATCTAGTGGGTAGAAGCTGAGGATGCAGCTAAACAGCCTACAAAATGCACAGCAAAGAAGTATCCACCCAAAATGTCAATAGTGCTGTGCCTGTGAATAGAGGAAAAGAGAGGGCAGGGCTGACTGTCCGTTATGGGACTGCCAGTGTCCGGTATTTAACACCCACCAAAATCTGGATATGTTTTACAAGCTCTGTGAGAGATAAATATACTCTTCGTTTTAAGGAAGGAAAAACTGGGAGTAACAGGTTACTGATGCCGCAAGTCCCCATAAGTAGAAACAGCTTGTACTAGAGTTTGACAAACATTTGCCCCACTCTGAGCAGCTCACTGTTTTGCTCCTGAGCCACCTGGCCATCTCACAGCTAGGAGAGCAGGATCAGGATGAACCGGAAGTGGCCCATGCTGGGTTTGGTGGGAAGAAGCTTGGAGAAGCAAGGCACACCTCTCAGCACACTTTGGGGTGCCCCATTTTTGTTGCTGTCGATGAGGCCCTTGCCCAGTGCCAGGCAGTCTAACCTCCTGGATACGACTGTACCTTGTTTTCCACTAAGAAAACAACCTTGGAGCTCTCTGTGCCTTTTGCTGGAGCTGATCCTCAGACACCTGTCCTCAGACTGGCATTAGATTAAAAGTTTTAACTAAAAGCACTTTTCTTCAAGCTGGAGCTGCTCTCTAGGTGTCTGGTGTGGCAGCCATAGTGGCTCCCCAGCAGCGACCTCAGTCCCTGCCCTGGGAGCACAAAGAGCCTCCAAACAACCCAGCCCAACTGGCCCAGTTCCAGAACTTCCTAGGCCACAGCCCCTTCCCTGCAGGCTGGGTCTGGGGAAGGGCCTCACTATTTTTGCAGGGGTGGGCTGGGGTAGACAGTGAGGAGGTCAGAGATTTCTTCCTTCCAATTCAGCAATAATGGATTCCCACAGGAGTTACTCCCAGGGACTGGTTGGTAGCTCTTGCTTGTTGGTGTCACTTCAGAGGCATCCTTTGTGCGCAGACTTTATTGATACCTGCTGCGGGCTATGAGGTGGGCCCAGCCCCCAAGGCCTATGAGGGTGGGGGTGGGGGTGGGAAGTAGTGTGGCCAATTCCCTGAAAATGTGGATCTGCCAAGGCTGTTCTTCCTCTCCACACATAGCTGGTGAAGTGAGGGATGGAGAAGAGAGCTCGTTTAACATAGGCTTCGTGGGAATCTGACGTCTTTCCTGACTTCTCCCCAAAGACGTAGCTCCTTCTCCTTGTCATATGGAAGGCCTTTCCTTTCCCACTCTTGTTGCCCCTACTCGGGCTCTGAGTGAAGAAGTGGGTACAGTGATCTACTCCTTGGAGTGAGCCTTCCCAAAGCGGTGTGGCCCAGGAGTGGAATCAGGACAGGGTTTGCACAATGGCCTCAGCGTGGCACACAGGCCAGAAAAGTCAATGAGAACAATGTGGAGGGGAAAATGCGAAGGCATTTCCCTGTTTGAATTTCTTTTTTTTTGATACCGGGGATTGAAGTCGGGTTCCTGTGCTTGCAAGGCAGACAGTTGGACCACTGAGCTAAATCCCTGGCCTCTCTGTTTGAATTTCTTCTTTTTGTAATTCTTCATTGGCCAGGATTTGGACAAAGATGCTGAACCACTGGGAAGTATGTGGAATACAGAGCCCATTGTGGGATTTGACTGCCTGGCAAAGTAAGTGGATCTGTTTGCTCTCTGCAGAGAGAGGAAGTAGGATTTTAGAGGCTGAGGCCTGCAGTCCCTGCCAAGTGGCCCCCAGTGCTCTGGCTGGGCAAGTGCCACACCAGTACCTCCACAGACCCTGCTGAAAAGCATGGCTCCTTGAGCTCTTACGCCTCACTTGTCTCACACAAACCTCACCCTGCGCATGCCCAAAAGGCTATTATGGGAACTGTGCTTCAGCCTAGCCAAGTGGTACATTGCAAAATCAGCCGGTGTGTGTTTTATTCCAGATATGGTTTTGTTTGTTTGTATATTTCAGGCCCTTGTGTGCACAGACATGCCCAGCATTGAACAGACATCCACTTTCCTCAGCTGACATGCTTTGAGGACTCCTTTAAATTCTGACAGGAAAATGAACAGTGTAGTTGGAACTCTGCTGGAGAAGGTGGAGAGTGTGTGTGTGTGTGTGTGTGTTTGATGTGTATGAATTTCAGGTGTGTGTGTTGCTGTGTATCCCCCGTTTCCACACACACTTCATGATGGAGATGGGAGGAGCGAATGGAAGACAATAACAGATCCAGAGCTGCACTCTCTGAGCTGTGAGGCCAGCGTCCTTTCCCTCACAAACCAGCTGCAGATTTCAATCAATTCAATCAATGGGCAATGCTTGCCAGCCATAAAAATAGCCCAGAGCTTACTGGTCATCGGCTCTAAGATGGATGACCAGTGACCCTAGAGGTCCCAAAGGTCAAAGATGACTATCACCTTCCAATGTAATGTGTGCTGGCCCTAAGCCCAGGGCCCACCTGGTGGGACAGGCGCTGCTGGCTCTGTGCAGCATCCACCAAGCCACCCAGTCTCAGCCCACAGCCTGGTCCTCATGAACCATGCAGTCCTTCTGTCCCTTCCCTTAGCCCTCACTGGGTGTTGCTGTCCTGCCAGGCAGAGAAGCTGCACATCTGTCTCCCCATCATTAACTCCGAGACATCCCATGGGGGCTGCAAGAGAACTGGCTGCTGTTTCTCTTATCACCCCTGTCCCCTCATTTGCTAAGCACTCACTTGCTTTCTCCAGCTCTGAGCACCATTTGGAATGGTGAGAAAGATGGTGCAGCCTGGCTCTCTGTGCTCCAGTGAGAGAGCCCTGAGGGACTTCTCTCTTCCCCTCCACAGCCATGGGCTCTTTCCATCCCTCCTAGTGCTAGAATTACCTCCTGTTTCTTCACCCACATGCACCTTCCTGCTGCAGAGTAGACACCAAGCAGGAGGTGCCATATCTAGGGGTTCACCAGCTCGTCCTTCAGTTTCTCCCTCTCCTTGTCTGATAAACACCAGGTCTACCCTCCTGACATCAGTGCACTGGTCTTGTGAATTTGGGGACAGCATGGGAGGACAGCACAACTGACATGTGCTCTGAGCCACATAGAGTTTTGGTGTCACCCAGGGCTACCTCCCTTGCTGAAGACAGTGCTGGCTGCTTGCTGGGGTTGCCCAGTCCCGAGAAGGCTCTGCCTCCCGGAAATCAACTTTCTTTCACAAATCCTTGCAGCTTGGCTATTTAATGGTCGATGTGTCACCCAAAGATGCAGTATTTCCCAAAAGTCAGGAAGCAAATAAATTATTACAGTTTAAAAATGAATCTATTTATTGATCTCCTTCTTTTACACTTTTAATGCTAATTGTTTTTCATGGCGCATGCTTTTGGGATTCATCAAACTGAATTTTTAACGAATTTCTAAACACAAAAATATAGCAGACTAACAGATACAGCCCAATCGTCCCACCATTTTCAAAGGCCTTCTGCGTGGAAGAGCCTCAGCACTATGACGGAATCATGTCTGTCCATGAGACCTGAGATGCTATCACTCAAGTGATAGATGAGTGTGTGGACATTACACATAGCTACATGATTTCAGCATCTATTGTATGCTCCTCTCTGTCTAGGGGACCTTCCAGGTGTATGCTCTGGTCCCAAGGCCCTTCCCTCTGCTCCTTCTCTTCCCTCAGAGACCTCTTGTTGACTCCCCATCTGTGTTTCAGGGTCTCAACCTCTCAACTTTCTCCTTGCTGTCTTCATTGCATATATCACAATCTGTGTTTACAGTTTGGTTTCTCCCTTCTTTACTTCATGATAGCAGAAGTCCCAAGGGCAGGTCCTTTCCCATTGGAATCAGTGCCTCCTTCACTGCCTGACATATGGCCCAAGATATTCACCGAGTTTAATTTTCAGTCAAATCTACCAGAATGAATACATTCAAATCAGTGTTTGTCTTTTTTTTCTCTCTCTCTCTCTTTTGGATTTTTGAGTCAGGGTCTTGCTATATGGTCCAGGCTGGCTTGGAACTCATAATCTTCCTTCCTCAGCTTCCCAAGTACTGGGATCACAGACATGCGCTACCACTCCTGGCTGCTTGCTGTAATATCTCCTTACTTCTCCAGGATATTCTTTCTCTGTTCCTCCCTCCTCTGTGTTCCCACTGCATCCCTCAGGCTTGGGTCACACATTTGGGAAATGAAAGCTGGAGACAAGGGCTAGAAGAGGAAAGAAAAAAGAAATGGGATCCATGGCACTGCAAGTCAGGGGTCCAGGGCATTATAGAGCCTGGGGTCCCAGGAAGGAAACTGAGCCCCGGCCTAGCAGCTGTGTGTACCGTGGGGTTCAGGATGAGTACAGTCACCTCACAGCTCCAAGTTCAGCAATCAGAAACAGAGGTTGCAAAAGCATTTGGTCGTGTGTGTGTGTGTGTGTGTGTGTGTGTGTACAATATGTATAATGGGCTTGATGAAAAACACTGCATTAGCTAGATAGATTTTTTAAGATGCATAAATGATGTGAGTGCCTAGGCTATATTAATTTATCCCTCTCTAGAAATGTCTGGAAAATAATAGGCATTCAATAAGTCATTGTGGAATAAATAAAGACTGAATTTTGAGGTCCTTGATTTTTATTGAGGTCAAAATGAGAATGAAGCATGTCTCTTCAGCTACCATAAAACTGGCCTTGAAGATATTGCCATTGATGGAGAGGTAAGAGCACTTTGGATTTGAATTCTAGCACTACCACTTACCTAGCTGTGTGACCTCAAGCCAGTTACTTAACTTGTCAGTGTATCTGTTTTCTAACCTAGAGAATGTAGCTTAACTCAGAATTATTGAGGGACTTAAATAAAATTATATACATCAAATGTCTAACATGGTTTCAAAGCACCTCTGGATCTTCAGAGAAGGATCTTCTGACTTGAGAGAGGCCTAGGAGTTGTTTATCATGGAGCTATTATGCATACTGTGCTGTCCATGATGAGGCTAAGGGATATGAGTATGGTACCATGTTCTAGTTTGCTCTGGAAAGTTCTAATACATTCCAGCATATTCTTCAATGAAATCATCAGGGAGAGGGGAGATAAGGCTGTGTAATCTACTATGTGACAATATATGGAGTGGCCCTGTCCCAGCATAGGTGCTCTTTGGTGACTGCTGGGCAAGTGGATAATTAAGTTTTCTGCCTTGATAGGGGTCCACATCACCTGAGAAGTGGACTCTAAAACTTTGGCTTCTGATTCCATTTTTTAAACTTTCAACTTTCTAGAGTATATTTTATGTGTGTCAGTGACTTTCAACTTGTAAAGAATGCCTCTGTGCAGAAGAGGAGGTGCCAGCAAAAGCAACTGGGAGAAGAGATCGGAAGGGAGACGTGGCAACCCATGGAGACAAGAAGAGGGGGCCTGGCTGGCTGCACTGCAGCTCCTCTGGAGTGATCGCAAGAATGAGGCCCAACTCTAAATCTGATTTCACCTTCCTAAAGATATCCATTGCTTACGTGGCAAAACCCACTTCCTCAGTTATAATCAAACCATTCTGTGAAATGTAGTACATTTTAAAGCTCACATTTTAACTCAACTATTTCATGGTAAAAGTCCTATTATTCACTACTGAGAATCAACGTAATTCCAGTCTGTTAAAAATTGGACACAATTTGCTGTAAATCTAAAACAGTTCTATATAAATGAGCCTCTTTCTATTCTACCCTATTTCCTTATGTGTCTAACATGGTCACCCTCCCATACACACACACACACACACACACACACACACACACACACACACACTCATACAGTGCTCGTGCCTCAACCTCTGTCACAGGAGGGACACTGGAAAAACACAGAGAGCTGGGTCTTGACAACAGGGTCTGAACATCAATAGTGGTCTTGCTTTTTTATTAGCTATGTGATCTTCATCATTTATCTATGTGGCCTGCAATATTTTCATCTGTAAAAGGGAGGTGATGATTCATGGCCTTTAGGATTAAGAATTAAGCAGAGCAATGAATGCACCTAGTACGGTGTCTAAAATAAGTACTAAGAAATAGCACTTCCCTGCCAGCTTTCCCCCTAACTTTTAAAAGGAAACACTTTGATCTGCTTGAAATGAGAAATAAAAGACAGGAAAATAATGAAAAACTATATCTTCTTATGATGGAGAAACAGGAGATGAAAATAACCTGAAACATACCTCAAGAGGACAAGAATAGTTAGCAGAGTTAGCATTTATTGTATATTTATTATGTGCAACATGTTCCAATGGTTGTACATATAATAACACGTTTCCCTTTTAATCCTTATAATCTGACCATGGCATGGGTATGATTATGCTCCCATTTTGCAGATGAGGAAACTGTGGCATGAGGGATGTGGGTAACACGGACACAGGGAGAGTTATTTGGCTAATAAGAGCCTGAGCCAGATTTGAACGTCAGCAGTTTTGTCTTCTGGGAAAGAGACTCTGAGGTAGATTTGAAGGAGGTATGTTGGGAAGTGTTCTAGGATTAAGACCAAAAGGGGCAGAGGGAGAAATTGGGCTGTGATATGGCCACACCAAATTTTTCTGACAAATGCATGGAGCTAAGAACTGGGACAGCTTTTTGGAGATGTCCCCAATTGAGGCAAAGGAGAGTGGAGCCTGCACCCCTGGGACCGGTCATTGGCTGCAGCTACCATTAGGAAGGGTGGGGTGGCCTTGAGTGGCATGTGGCTATTTCCAGCTGCTGGCAGTTCCTAGGGAAGGACTTGGCTGAGAGATGCGAGTTGCCAGCAAGTCAGCACTGGGGAATGAGTTCACCCCACAGCACCCACTAGTCACTCTTGGCCCCACTGACACCAACATGCTTCAAATAAATTATAAGAGTGCCTATTCCAGGAATCTGGGGGATACTTTCAAGTATCAGCAGGACAACCACTTCCTTCTCTACTACAGTTTCTCTTGGAGTTACCACTGATACGCGTTCCCTCCCTCCTCTACCATCCAGTCTAGATTTCCTGTCCCCTTCTAAAGAATTTCACTAACTTTGCGCATAGCATCAAATAGGCTAACCAAGAGCCTCAGGCCCCAGAGGCCTGCATTCCTAACAACTGTGCCCTTCAGGTCTACAAACCAGGCCGGGGATTTTGGCTTTTTACTGGGATGGCTGCCTTCAGCCCCTTGGTACCTGTTTTATTTCTTTTGGTTAAATAGATGAACAGTGCCATTGCTGATACCCCCGCTACTCTATGTTTTATTAATCATCTCCAAAGATCTCTGCAGGTCAGGACCCTCTGGCTACCACTCCAATCTTACTACTCAATACGATAATTACACCCACTGGGTCTCTATTATTTCGGGACTTTCTCCTCCTCCTTGTTACCAGAGGGACCAGTTCTTATGTGGCATCTACTTTCAGCCCTAGCCTATAGTGATGCTGCTGCCCTTCTAACAGAACAACCTCCAGCCTCTCCAGCAGAGCGGAGGCACATATCCGGTGAGTTTCCTTTCCTTATCTAGTATCTACTCCAGCTGTCTTACCACTGTGTTTGGTCCTTTCCTTCACAGTCTGCCACAGTACTTCTGGCCTTTCTTCTTGGCTGCATGTCAGCCACTGTTTGCTCCAAGCTGAGTAGCATAATAGCCAGGTCAGCATACTGTCCCTGGGACCTTGCCAGCGTGTTAAGTCCCGTATCAGTAATTCTCCCTTGCCTTTCTTTATATTTCGTCTCCCAGCACCGATCCAGTCCCATAATTCTCCCAGGGCCTATAGGTACATGTTGGTGAGGTCCTACAGCTTCTTTAGAATATGGTTCCTTTCCTCGTTTAGCAGGCCCAGCAATTTGGCAGCCAGGTTGTACACTGACTTAACTCTAGTCAGTCGGTCTGATGAGTGGTAGAGGAAATGGGAGATATGCATTGTTGTGCAACACCAGAAGCCTTTGCATCATCCTCAGAGAGAGAGAGAGAGAGCATTCGTTTTTAACAGAGAGGAGCAGGCCACTCAGGTTCAAGGGGGGTTCCCTAGAACCTGGGGATTCGAAATTGTTGAAATGCATCAACCCAAGCAGGCAGCCCCTTCCATCTCGGTTAGGGCCCTGACCTGGAGCAGCAGACCTTCCAAGGCTGTTTCCTCTGGAGCTCTGCTTTTCATTGTAAGACCCGGGCCTGGCCCTTAGTGTATCTTTGGCTATAGATGAGATCGCCTGAGACATTGCCAAGAAATCTCTCTGGCTTTCACATTTAGCTTAAGTGGTGATTAATCACCCTTAGCCTTTCATTGTCTTTTTCCAGTGCACAAAGAACTGTCATCCACGACCATTGTTCTTTGAATTTCTGTTCTGCCTTACTTCTCAGATCCTCAGCACACTTCCTTGCATCCCAAGTCACCATCAATGACAGTCTGAACAGTCTCACAGCTTCAGCCTGCTGGAGACTATCCGTGATCCCTTCCTACCCATGATGGGATCGTCCTTGCTATGGGCTAGTGAGTGACCAACTCCCAAATCCTGTTTCCCTGGGGCAATCTTGGGACCAGCTGTTCTAGGTTTTCTTCTCTGGGATTCAGACTGTGTGAGAGATCTATCTGCCTATTGAAAGTTTACAGAGAAGAGTTCTCAGGATTCACAGCTGCAAAGAAGAGAAGCAGGACTGGGCAGAGGTTGAGCTGTGATGCAGTTCAATTAATGCTTTTTGCAGTGCTCAGAGAAGGTCTGGAACTGAGAAGCAAAGCCCTTCACAGTTGTTCTGAAATGGAACACCAGGCAGGGCTTTTACATCTCCCCTTTAGCCCACTGTGGGATGTGGTTGCCCCAAGAAAGGGAGCATGACCTTGGACGAGACAGTTCTTTGCCTGGGAAGCAACCTCCAGGAAGGACTCGGCAGGGAGCTGTTAGATGTCAACACTTCCAGAAGCCAAAGGTAGAAATGCTTTGACCCCAGGGTGGGAGAACCTGGGCAGAGCAGTGCCAGGCATCCAATGCATTGCACTTACTATATGCTAGGATAAAGAGGATGTATCACTTATTTTTAAAACAAAAAGAGCATAGGGTTGGGGATTTAGCTCAGTGGTTTTGCTGCCTGCCTTACAAGTACAAGGTCTCGAGTCTGAACCCTGGTACAAAAACAAACAAACAAACAAACACACACACAAAAAAAATCCACAAAAAGAGCTTCTAAAAAAGAGAAAATTGAACATGAAACTAAAAGAGAAAATTTTCTTTTCCTTAGGGTCTTGAATATTTCAAGTATCCTTTGATGCAGGAGCCTGGCTGTTGGTTGCTACAGTAGTAGCTGCTAATGAAGCAGTCAGGATTGTTGGTAGCATCTGCCTGTGCCCTTCAGGTTCGAGGTCTGAAGTAGCTTATACCACTCAGATCACATAAGGGCTCGGGCTGTGATGGTCCCTACCTTACATTCCCTCAATCCTTCACATTAATTTCTATTTATTCTTCAAGGCCCAGCTCAAATGACTCCCATCTGCAAAGCCCAACTTGATACTGCCCCATCGGAACTGACCATCCCTTTTCCTTTATCGCTTCTCACCTGTCTCTATTTATAGCACTTATTCAGTAGCGTTAGATTGAGATCATCTTCAAGAAGAAAATAGAATATAGAACAGATACTTGTTCTATACTGAGATTCAGTTAACATTTGGTGATTGAATAGAAATAACAGCTCATTTCCATATTTTAAAATTATTTGTATATTTTTACAAAAGCAAAATGCTCCTGTAATCCCAGCACTCAAGAGGCTGAGGCAGGAGGACCACTGTGAGTTTAAGATCAGCCTGGGCTACATAGTGAGTTCCAGGGCAGTCTGAACTACATAGTGGTAAGACCCTGTCTTAAAAAAAAAAAAAAAAGCAAAATGCTAATGTATGGGTCAAACTTTAGCGACTACATTTCATTTCTGAATAAAATGAAGTGCTAGGTCATTTTGACCCTAGTTAAAACCTGCATATTTTGTTTCCTTTGATTTGGTAATTATATAGAATACATTCTACAAACCCTTTTCCAGTGTACTGTTCAAACTAGACATATTTTACAAAGATACTCATTGAGGGCTGGGGATTTAGCTCAGTGGTTTGGTGGCCTGCCTTGCAAGCGCAAGGACCCGAGTTCAATCCCCAGTATCAAAAAAACAAAACAAAACAAAAAAAAGATACTCATTGAATAGCTCAAAGTTATCTCTGTTGCTAATGTGAACCCTAAATTTAAAATGGTGATCTCCTCTCTTTTTCAGGAATCAGCCATAACTGGACAGTCCTGTCTACTGGCATATGTTTTGATGCCTCTTCGTGTTTATAGACTTTTGTGAGAAACAAGATGGCAGCACACAGCAATCTGGTAAAGAAGTTGGTGAGTACAAGCAGATTACTCATTGGATAAATGTCCAGATCTCCATTGGTACACATATAAGAGGTGAAAACAAAGAACATGACAAAAATTCAACAATATTTTCCAAGAACATGAGTAATATTATCCATACTTAACAAGAAATTCCAAATATCTTCTAAAAATATTAGCTTATATTTATTGAGCACTTAACTGCTGTTCTTCCAAGCACATCTACAGGTGCAATTTCATGGATTTAACAAAGGTAGCACATATTTACTTGATATCTGCTGTAATTCGGGCGTGATATATTCCTGGCCTTCTCTGGGAAATCTAAGACTATTGAGGAATCATGATTGGCTGCATTTTCCTTCTGAAGCTAAATAGAACCTACCCTGTCTTCTCAGAAGAGAAAGGAATTTATTAATGAGAAAGAGGGTGTATAAGTTGGGGCAGTATTTTCACCATCATTTCAACGACTCTTTTTTTTGCAGTGCTGGGGATTGAATTCATGTTTTGACCTGAGCCACACTATCCCCGGCCACTTCATTATTTTACTTTGAGATGGAGTCTCACTAAGTCACTAAGTTGCCCAGGCTGGGCTCAAATTTGTGATGCTCTTGTAACCATTTTTAGCAGCCCTGACGAGGCACATCAAGGACTATTTTATACTAAGGATTTCTTTGTCTTTTGGAGCTTGTCTGGAAGGTATGGGCTCCATTTGGCTTGTTTTCTAATCTGCAGGAAAGAGAAGAGTCCATACCCATTTGAGGGAAGTATCTGTTCACAGAATAAGTGGATCCAGTCTTGCTTGCAGGAACGGAGTGAGTAGCTTACCTTTTTCCTAGAGGTGCATAAGCTTCTCACTTAGAAGAGTCCTAATTAGGAGAACTTCACAAGTAATTTGCTTAAAGGGACTTGGGAAGCTGCAAACAATTTAAACTCTAAAAGCACATGAACTGTTTTGTCATGCAAATGACGGGAACAAATGTGAAGGCTTGTCTAAGATTTATAATGCCACCAGGGCAGGATCAGCATGCACTGCAAAAACCACATCTTGAGAGGTTAATACGAAATGATACAATCACTCAAAGCCCAATTCGTGCCCAAAAAGATGTACAGAAGCGAGAAGCCTGAACACCTTGTTGGCATGCAGTGTTCATCAGGCTGTCTCTATAGAACATAAGGAATGATTAAAGAGATGATTCCATTGTGAGCTCAGTTCATTTAAATGACAATGGCAAGCACAAACACCTCTGTAGCCTTTTTTTTTTTTTTTCAGTTTGTAAACAGCAAGAAGAACTGGAACATCTAATGTCTGAAATTCTTCTGGCTTTTCTTTTTGACCTTTGGTATTTGTATGTATTGACGATCTCTAAACCATTGCACAAAAACACCTTGAAGTGTCAAGCTTTAAAAATGAGTCTTCTTTTCTCTTTCTCTTGTGCAGCGTGGATTATCTTGGCCTTGTCAAAATACATTCTCTAGTTAGAGGGTGGAAATATTTCCCTCCTGGCTCCCAAGTATTGATTTTCTTCAACACTCAGCTCTGTCCATCAGGGGAAGGGGTGAAAGGTGAAAGTTCACCCAGCACAGCTTGGATTTACCTTCCTATTAATGTCATGCCCTTTCCACATTTGATCAGTTTATGTGTTCACCAATCATACAGAACTATTACTGCTCTTATTTTCCTATAAGGATACATTTGAGTCATCAGGGAGCATTAACACAACTCCCAAGGCTCACACTGAGCATACGGTAGGACCAAAGATGCTGGAGTCAATTCCTGTTTGTTTATCCAGTTCTTAGAGATTATACTGTTACATGTTTGACTCAATTCAAGGCGTCTATGTTCTTATCTGAAAGCATCCAAAGAAAAGTACTTTTGCTACTTACACATGACACTCTGAGCAATGAGTACCTATTTTGTTTGTTACTCTTGCTTTTGCTTCAAACCAAATTATATACTCTTTAGCTCAGGGATTAAATTCAGCTCCAAACTGAATATTAAATGAAATAAATTTAATGATCTCATTCTAGCTCCCGAGAAGCAGCCAACCCATGTCATCAGGTCTGACAAGATATGATTTGGGACAATCAACAGTCTATTTAGGGGCAACTTAGGGTAGAGATAAAGGAACATGCATGTCATTCCCCTGCCCGAGCCACAGAGGGTGCTGTGGAGTTTTTCCACCAGGAAGTGTGCTTCTGAGATTTATAATGCCACACGGCAGGATCAACATGCACTGCAAAACCAAATCTTGAGATGTTAGCACAAAATGATACACTGTTCAAAACACAATTCATATCCCCAAAGATGTACAAAGGCAAGAAGCCTGAACATTTTATTGTCATGCAATATTCATGGAACTGTCTGTACAAAGGGTAAGGTATGATTACAGAGAGACAAAAACCTGGAAACACCACTGTGAGCTCGGTTCATTTAAATGACAATAGCAAGCACAAATCCCTCTGTGGTATTTTTTTAGTAGTGTGGGTGAGACTTCCTTTTTCTTTGCTCTACTGTCCTTTGAGAACAAGTTTATATTTCCTGAAGGTGGCTCTCCGATGAAATAATCAGAAACAGAAAGGGAAAATGAATTTTAACTGAGAATATTTAAGAAGACAAAAAGCAATAATGGGAGAAAAACAATCTTCAGTACAATTCAGTTTTATTTAACACACATATGTACACAGGGACATTTAGCACATATACAATCTGCTAAGCAGAATCATCCAGAAATGTGTTGGGAGGCAGACATTTTAATTCACTCACCATACCCAGAGAATTCAATCATTACATTTTCTTACAAGTGTCACATCATGTCATCTTTTGCTTGTAAAGTACCAATGAAGCCACATACACCTTTACATTTACAAGGACAGGTCCAGATGCAGTGCCAATGAAATCAATAAAACACTAAGTGTGTACACTGATGACAACACAAAGTTTACTTTGCTCAACAGTCTAAGCTGGGATGAAGTCTCGGAATGTGGGTGTCAAATAGCCAGCTATTCACAAGAATGCAAATGTTAGTGCAGCGGTTAAAGATGTCCACTCATGTCAACTGTCATCCCCTGTGGGGTTTTACAGTCCTCGTGTTCTACTGGCTCATCAGTGGGGCCCTCTGCACACAGGATGTGAAAGGGCTTTGTTCCTCAGGCCCTCACAGCTTTGCCTCAGTCTCCACCGTGGGACCACCTATGCATTTGCAGCAGCCCACCTAGCCGGCCCATGCCTTTTCCCTGATAAGTAGAACATTGTGTTAAAAAAAATTTTAAGGTATACATTTACCTCATTATTTCAAATAGTTTTGTGACCTATAATAACTTAATTTCCATTTCAGTCCATACAGTAAGCATGTACTGGGTACAGAGCAGGCTCAGGAGCCTACTGGGACAACAAACTGCACCTCACATTTTTCTATCTACACCAAACACACAGCATATTCACCAAACAAAGACTACACTGTATATTTCTTGGTTTCTTTCCTAGAATCTACCTATATAGTCATTATAAATGCGACATACATGCATGTGGCATAAATTTACTTTTGAGAGAACACTCAACATATAAAATCAAGGAAGAGTATAGGTTAGCCACCAAAAGAAATAACATATTTTATATCAATATGAAAGAGATGTTCTAGGGGTCTAAATTTCTTAATATGTTCTTAAACAACCCGTTTCAGTAAAATAACAGATATATTGTTCCTGGACCTTGAGCCTACCTTTCTGTACAGTACATAAACTCTGACAATCTATGTCTTTTAGATTAAATGCTCCCATTATTATTTTGATTCCTCTGTGAACTTTACATATTTTCTCGAGTTTAATAAATCATTTTCTTTTCTTGCATTTAACAGATCATTTTACCCAACTAATTGACTAACCAACAAACAAAAAAGCCCAAATAAATATAGATTAAAGTCTGTGCAAGTCACACAAAATGTTTTTAATGGAGTTTTTCCATTACTATAAGCAAGAGCGGTCTTAACTTGACCTAGGTAGAAGGTGATCTAGTTGAAGTTTTCTTTGAAGCAGGATGGACAGACATTTCCATGGCAACATTTGCTCAAACAGAGTGACCGAGGGCCTCACATTTGAATATATGCTCTTGACCATTCGTGCCACTGCAATGAATTTTCTTGTTTTAAAAACTGTCTTCTTAATTTTCCTTTAAACTCACCAGCAGTCGGAAGGCTGACTTATAGTTACCACATGATAAATGACACGGGGAACTACAAGTTGTACGGTGACCCAAGGGGAGGAGCACGCCTTTTCCTGAACAAAAGGGATTGCAACAATACATAGGAATCTTCACTTTGGGGATATGCTATGCTTCCAAACTTGGTTCTTCATCAGAAAAGTCCCTTAAAAGTTTAGCTATGGTAACTGAATAATTATATAAGCTAGATCATAAGTAGGGATGATTTCTATTTTAAATTACTAAATACACTATTGTTTAAGCAGGAAATGAATAACTGAGAAGTCTAAATGCCTAGAAATTTAGATTTTCTACAAGGAAATATATATATTTCTACCCCCACCCCCAATAATCTCAAATAACTTAGATGTCACTAAAGAAAGTGGTGGCTTAATCCTAGGAAATTGAATATAGTAATTTCCTAGCAATTGCCAGAAGGGGGAAAAAAAACTTGTAAACACAGAATCTTTTTGGTATAAACAAAAGTGTGTTTAAGACACCCAAAGGGAAGTTATTTCACTAATGAAGACGGCCCCATCAACGCAACACCTAGTGCTAGCACAGTCAGACTAGAGCAGCCCCTCGGAGCCAGGCTGTGAGGGCTGGAAACCCTGATGGGTGGGAGTGCAATCACAGTGGTTATTGATTTTCAGGCTTCTGTTGCACCCAGCAACAAGAGCGTTCCCAGGAACCATCAGCTTTCCCCTCCCATCCCTGGCAGGGAAAAACTACCTAGTGACAGAATGGCCACATCCTGTTGTGCCCTGAGCACATGCCTCTGAAGTGGCAGGTGGCCTGTGTGGGAGTCTGCCCCCAAGAAGCATGCGCAAGTGACACAGACCTGGCTGCACCTCTCATGTCACTGGGGTGGGCAGGCACCAAGGAATAATCCAGTGCAAGACAGCAACGTTGGCCTATAGGATTTACAGAACTAAGACACAGGGCAACAGACAGCAGTATCAGACCACAAAGCGGTGTTCCTTCCCGTCATGCGCCATGAGAATGATGTTGCGGTTGGAGGTCCAGATGAGCCGGGCCAGCTTGAGAGCATTGTGGGAGCCAGGGGAAGCTGGCTGCACAGGGGGCACCTGGTAGGTTTTAATGCAACGTAGCTGAGGTGCCGAGTTCAGCATACCGATGCTTCCTAGCAGTGACGTGTTCATCTGGAGGGACAGAAGGCAGGAGAGCACACATGTCATTTAGAGACCTTTCCCTTTCATGGAGAGTGCTTCCATCTCTTCTGATTCTAGTTATTCTACATTTCCACAGGGCTCTTCTGGTGGATCTGATATTGTTCTGATGCTGTTAATGAAAATACATACATCTAGAGAAATTTAACTTTGTTGGTAGGAGCTGACATCAGGGGAGTTCACTGATCTTGAGGAAGAAACTAAATTAGACTCGTTAATAAAATGGTTCAATTAGACAATATTTGGAAACTAGGGCTATTTAAAACTGCAGACCTTTTCACTTTCTTACAATTATGCTCAGTGCATCCCTGAAGGATGACTCAATGAAGACACTTTAGGGTTTATAATTAGTTTAAGAAAATGAAAAAAAGTTAAGCTACAGATAAAGTGATACTTTACTGATCAGAGCTCAAAACTCAACCTCTCAGCCCCATCACCAACACCTTTGATCCTCACTTGCTTCTCAAAAACAGACTCTGGAAAGCTCTCACTTATTTTGATGGGAAAAATAAGTCAGTATCATCTCACTGCTTTGCTAAAGGGAGTTTATTCTCTACAGTTTGTCAACAACACTCTTTTTATCAGTTGGTGATTTCTGCTTTTTGGAAATTTTTTCTGGATTTGAGTTAAATTTAAATTTTCTTAATCCAGTCACATAACTGAAAAATATCATGGAAAATATGAGTCATGAATAACTATGCATTCAGGTCAAAATGTTAAATAATGAACTGTGTTATCTAAGTGAACTGAGTCTGATGCTTCCTTTAGATTTCAAGTATTACTTAAAATGTTTTCATTATGCACCACTGTTTGTGCTATGATAAGCCACATAGAAAGAATGATAATCAGGAAAGAAGCCTTGGAAACAGTATTTTTCTCCGTGCTAATTTTGTTTCTAATTCTCGCCAGCGGAACCTCTATCTGCATGCATAAGATGCTGGGGGTTTGGGGGAAACATGCAGATTACCATCCAACATATGCAAATGGTTGAAACATGAAACCCTAGCACATCCTAGGACATTTAAGATGTGTTATTGCTGATACCATGCTCTGCATGTGGATCAGTGCAAACTACAAGCCATTCCTTTTTCCAGCCCCTCTCAGTAGCAGGATGGTGTCAGAGGGCGTAAATCATGGCATCTCTAGCAGAGTGTGTGCAGCCTCCACTGACATTTTCACAATTTAAATCATCTTGAGTAATAACCCTTTTAAGATGACTAATGTTACTGATTTTCCCGCATTAATAATAGTGCCGAACACAACACAGAGGTGAAAAAAAATCACTAGTGTACGAGGTCACATTTTAAAACCAAATGTATGGTTATTGTTAACTCTTTCTGTTAAAGTTTAGTTCTCACTTAAAGCCAGGTACTACCTTGATGTCACCCTCTCAAAAGCCCTTTTCCTTATGTCCTTCCCTCTTTTTTCCCAAGAAGTCCACAAAAAGTAAAATCCAATGTTTTATTGCCTTCTAGAAGTTCCCAAATAGGATAACTACACATAATGGTGAGCTTAATTCAATAGTTTTCACTTCTATAAAAAAGTAACAGTATATAATTTAGTCTTCTTATAGAACAGATCCAAATGATCCAGAAAATTGCTGGTTAAAATTAACTGGCACCAATAGGCGTACAGTGCTTTTTAAAAAAACCAGTTTCTCAGTTGATAAATAACTACAAAGTATTTTTATTCTTTATAGATTTTCTATGAAAATATATATAAAGCTGGATTTCTGCTGGTGACGCAAAATGCAAATGGCATATAACGTGCCCAGACAATTTCCTGTTTTTACTTCTTTCCTTGAAATTTAGTCATGTACAAAAAATGAGAGCTAAAGGGGGTGAGAAAGAGACTATCTTATGGGAATGCTACATAGATGGAAAAGATTTTTAGAAAAGGCCATTATTATACCTGGGTTCCCTTCATAACCTGAGTCATTCCTATTTTGGATTAATGCCTTTGATAAAGTTAAATAACCTTCCTGCCTCAGTTTAGGGTTATGGACAATTCTATAAGGTACATAACTGGTATAGTTGCATACAGGTGGAACTACTAAGATCCTTGGGCTCATACAATTTCCTTGCTTCTCAGACCATCCTTTCTCTATGCCTTTCTTGAAAGAGGAAGGGATCTGAGTAAAGGTGACTTGCTTTTTCCATAAGCTCAGACAAAGAACTCTCACTGACTGAAACAATTAACAATTTTGTTATTCAACATTAATTTTTTTCTTCATTGGCAACTGGCTACAAACTATGCTAAAGTAATGGCAACTTAAATCTTGAGTCAGTGAAAACCACATGAAATTGTAATATTTGGTAATGTTAAGTTTTTTCCTGATCACAAAGATATGAAGTTATTTAATAAAATTCAAATATTGTAAGTAAAAACAAAACCAAATCAAATCTCTTGAAATCTCTGACAATCATCGTGAGCATTTTGGTAAACATTCTAAACTTCCATATATATTGGAGGGGGGATTGTTTGAGATTTAAGGAATTTTACTTAGCCTCATATTAAAAGGTAGTTTTGCATAAGCCAGACATAGAAAAATAATTATCATGATTATTTCCTCTCATACATGAAAACTAAATTAAAAAAAGATGATATGAAAGTAGAAGAGGGACTACTAAGGACTACGAATAAGGTGGGAGGGAACCTAACATAAGGAGATGGTAGAAGGGAACGTAGATATGGTCAAAGCATAACATATGCATGTACACAAACGCATAGTGAAACTTATGAATTTGTATAATTACGCACTAATAATAATAATAAAGGTATTTCTGTGGTCTATTTTTCATCCAACAAAATGTTGAGAGCAACCTTTTCACATTAATGACTATAGATTTACATCATTGATTGTAAATAGCTGAATAGTATTCTATTGTATGATAGAATTTAAAAAATGAAAACAATATCCATCTAATTTATTATTAGCATTCCTGAAAGAGAACATTTATTTTTGGGACCATGGTGGTAAAATTTAAGTGTGAGAATTACTAACACATTCATTACCAAAATATTCTTGCTAAAATAGCAACAGATACACTGAAGTAAATACTCAAATTGTAGGACTACGATGTTAAAGACCACAGAGTTTGAAAGATTAAACATCACATTATTTTATAGCTGAGTATGTAACTAAAATACAACTTTGGCTTTTTCCTTTCTTCCAAATAGATGGCTTACAAAACCAGTTCTGTGAAGATTATTTTCTGAGTACAGAAATACATACAGATATAATTCATCAATGTTTTAATGCTTTTCCCAGTGTAAGTAATGCTGCATACAACCTTTTACTAAGTCTCACTTGAGTAATTATCCAACCAATATTTCTCATTAACACTCATTTCTCAGCAAAGATTTTAATAGTTGATAGCTTTAGCAAGGCTCTGTATTAATAAGACTTCATTAAGTTTTCAACATATATTACAGTACACTTACTGGAATATATAAAAGTGTTCTATATATCACTAGAACTAAACAACATGTATCTAGATAAATCAGCCTAGCCAATTTGGGGAGAAAAGCAGTAGATTCAACATTGCTTTCTGGATTCTTTAATCCAAACAAAAGACCATTACACTTCTACAAGAGGTTTCATTGTATTTTCTTGATAAAGCCAAAATGATAAAGCCAAAGGCCTATTTCTATGTTTTACACTCAAATCTCAAAACTGAACTGGGTATAATTTAAGCATTCAAGGAATGGGCTGCATCTTAAACTCTGACATTGGCTTGAAGGGCAGAAAAGGCCTAGGTGTTGCCTGAGTTGCTCTTGAGCTCTGGCAAGTAGTGATGATACTCAGTGCAGGTGAACTTAGTGATAAGGGACCATGCTGTACTCACACTGTGCACACAGCCAGGCACAGGCACAGGCTTGATGCATGTGACAAAACCCAGAAACAATTAGAGGAACTGGAAGAGGAAAAAAGGTATCTCAAGGGTAACACCGAATGAATGATCTTGACCTCTAAGGTTAAAAAAACAATTTCACCAAGGTGCTGGCAGAGATTTTGATAGGCAAATAACAATTTTCAAGGAAAGAATGAACACATGTATCCAAAAAGAAAAAATAATTTAAAAATCTAAACACAGGGAAGAACAAAATTTAACACTCAGAAAATTCAGGAAAATCCTAGAAAAAGTGTGTCAAATCTGACTAATTTTGGAGCATTTCTTTTATATAGTGAATTCTGTTTTCTTACCAAAAAAAGTTAACAATAAAGGTGAAATTTAGTTTATTTACTCCAAAGAAGGAAGCATGGACAGAACAAAAGCTCCTTGAAAGCAGACCCAGGTATTTGCTGATTTCCATAGGTAAAGCACCTCACTCTTAGACACCCAGGCAATGTTGAATGAATACAGCTTTAAGAGCTGCTCCAAGATTCCAAGAGAACAAGAAATAAAGGAAACCTGTACCGGTGGCATAACAGCACAAAGAATATTATATTAGTCCTGAGTAGAAAAAACGATCAGTAGGTAAACTCTTGAAAGAACCATTTTTGGAAGAATCCAGTTTATGGACAGTTAGTGGACTTTTTGGTTACAAATTTCAGCTGTGTGGTTACCCACTAAGAAAAATGAAGATGGGTGAGATCACTCATGGAAGTTGTTTAATATGGCTAATTAAGATGCTGGAAAGATATTCTGCAAGAAATGGAAATTAGAAAAACTGGAAAACTAAGCTAAATAAAACGTAGAAAAAAAATCTGTGACAGATTTGGAACTTGTCATGTTTTAATGGCATTGTTAATTAAGTAATTTATTGTATCTGTTTTACATTTTATTAGCTATTGATTTTTTAAACCATTATCAAGTTGTTCTGAGGCCTTGTTTAAACTTTTATTTTATTTTTAGCTTTCAAGGCAATACGTTGAATCTTATAGAACACACTTGCATCCTAGGAAAATATAAGGAGTAATAAATTTAAATTAACTCCTTACACGTCTTGGTAATATTTAGTTTTTTGTAAATTGTTAGGACTAAAAAAGTAAGGTAACAAGAAAGCAGATAAGCTGCTAATTGAGCACTGAAAATGAAACATATTCTACTGTAAATATTAGCTGCTCAAAATTAGTATTCATGTCAATCAGAATTAAATATAAACATTCTCATGAATTACTCAATAAAGATTCAGATTTTAGAAATGTTTTCAAAACCTTGGTGATTAAGAGCATTTTGTGGAAAATTTAGAATGCAAACAAAATAAGATAAAGGGGGCACGAAGGAAATACTAAGAAAACACCTGGCTGTCCTATGCCCTATCCCTGTTAAGAGTCACCAAAGACCTTGTAAGAATCTTTGGGTAGATTAGCAGCCTGAACAAGGCTGCCCTGCCTGATTCCTTGCAGGTCAGGCCTTCACACACACTCACCCTTGCTTCCTGTGTACACACAGCACCTGTGCTCTCCACACCCGCCTTCCCCAGCATCCCTCAGGGCTCACGTCATAGGCCATATGCCACTGTCTCTGGACCGCCTGCCCACAGCCCATCCTCAGCTTCTGTGCACTGCAACTGTTTATTCACCTGTGTCTCCTTCAGACTGAAAGCTCTGTGATAGCAGCCGCCCCTCTTCCCACGTGCTAACTATATTCTCAGCACCCTGAGGGTAGTGCCTGGTATACAATCAGCAATCCATAAACACTTTCTCTTTGTTGAAGGATGTGTGGAAAGGTAGGAAAGCAGCTGGCAGAAAGGCTCAACAGGAAGATTTTCCCACATAAACACAGCATGAAGTATATACTTCAAGTTCCTGCAGCGTGTACTCTTACCTGCCAGAAAGAAATGTGACTGTCAGTGTTTGAGTAGGTGGCAAGATATCGTCCATCAGGAGCAAAGGCCACTGCAGTGATTGGTCCCTTGTGTCCATGAATTGTCTAAAAGAAAATTCATAGGTAATTAATGGTAAGCATTCCACAGAACTACTACACACAAGGGTACATGTAAATGCATTCATATTGAACAAATTATGCCATAGATATTAGATATTGTTATGTTCTTTGTTTAGAAAATGAGGTAAGAAAAATAAGAAAAGCAACCTAGGTTGTCTCACTATATGTCCAAGGACTTTAATCTTGTTTTGAGGAATGGACCTATCTTCTAGTTAAGCGGATAATCTTTTTTTTTCTCTTAAATTCTTTTATTGGTACATTTTAGGTATACAGTACAGTTACATTCATCATTGGGAACATGTACCTTTACATGATGTATCTTGGTACTTATTTTTTCCCCATTTCCCTACCCTCCCTTCTTGTAAAGCATATATTACCATATTGTGCATAATCTATGTAAAAGCATACATTAATAGGCAAACAAATGTTTTAATTCACTTATATCCACTCCAAAGAAGAATTTTGTAATTAATTAGAAAGAAACTGATCACCAAAATTATCCAGGAATTTTGCTTGTCTGAAGTGAAAAACAATCAAATCTGAATCATAATACCCCTGTCGTTGAAAGAGTTAAAGACTATAATTGCAACTCCTTAATAATCACACATTTTTCATGTCTTATGCTTGATTTTCTACCAAAAACACTGTTTAAATGCATATAGCTGCAAATAGTAAACATATATACACATATGTGTTGGACACACATATAAATCAAACATTATTATAAACAAGTTGATAGAGTTTTGAACCTTTGCCAATACTTCCACTGATTTAATCATGAATGATAAAAAGGAAGTTGTACTTTAGGTTGATAAAAGGTCCTTACTAATAAAAATAAATATCCTCAGGTCTGATGACAATAATTATAGAAAACACTGCATACTAAGCAAATTAGCATTAATATTGTATTACTCTCCCTATTTCAACCTTTAAAACCATACCTCTACAGCATTAACCAATACTCAGTTGACCTTACAAGCTGTAGATTGTTCTTCTCCCACTGTCTAAAAAGGAATGAGGAAATGTGTGCCCTTAAATGGAGCCAGTATCAGGAGGGTTTGCTTCCACTTGTAATTTGTGGTGAAGATATGGAAAAGTTGCATCTCAGTGGCAGCATCAGGCTTATTATGTGATTCAGCCCATGTATACTGTACTATAAATTTTAGTAGGGTATTTTTCATAATTCTTATCTGAAGATTAAAATGAGAATGAAGGGAGGAAAGAGGGAAAGGGACATAGGCACATTCTTTAATGCCTTTTGTGATCAGTTATGTATAATCACTTGACATTCAAAGCACTGTTTTCCAACGTTCAGAGAAAAGGCGTTACACTGAAATTATGGTCTGGGCTTTAGGCAGGGAGTGGGTACTAATCTGAGTCAGACTGTCTGGGTTTGACTTTGGGCTTTACTATGTATTAACTGTGGAATGTAAGGCCACATTATTGAAGGTAGTTAACTTCAGAGAATCCATGCCTATAATTTAGAGATGATGATGATGTTGATGATGATGATGATGGTAATAATTATATATCTCAAAGAGATTTGTAAAAATTAAATGAGATAATACATATAGCACTCTCCACAATACATGCCACATAAGAATTTAATAAATGCTACCAACATTTTTATTATTCCTGCTCAGACATGGCCAAATGTGGACAATCATATAACTCAATTACTTGAGTATACTGTTTAATGAATCCCCCCCACAAAAAAAATGTCAAACCATTTATTCTCAAATCAACATCACTTAGCATACTAGGTTGCTTAGAAACAGACTTCAGACCGTGACATGTTATCAAACACAAATGGCAACTAGCTAGAGTGCTGACCCACAAATGTGCTAAATAAGCAATGGGTATGCCTACTGAATAACTATTATAAGAAACCAGCTTAACACCAACTATACTAGAATAAAAATTATTCTACATGGTGGGGGGGCTCAACCAATTAAATGGGAAAACTGGCCATTCCCACTTATAAGCTGTAGGTTGGTCTTTTCTCCTAACAAGACCAGTTTAATGAACTCACTGGGCAAGCATTTTGGGCTTTTAAAATCAATGTTCAGTTCTACAAAAATCTGAAATTCTATTGGGTCAATCTGCATCTAATATTTGTCTAAGAGAACTGATTGGGAAGACCTTGATATACAACAGAGGTTGAAAACAGCAGACCTTTAAGATGAAAACCAAATGGTACATATGTTTAGTTTGGCTTGCAAAAATAGTAAAAGATTTTAAGCCCATGTTTCTAATTCATCAGATCTCATGTAGAATCAGGATTTCAAAGCTTTCCTGAAAGACTGGAGGACAGGGCAATAACGGACCTTTGTTCACACATGGTAACATCATCCACATCTGAGTGGAGGTAACCACTTTCCCCTGGGAGTTTGTTCTTCACTTCACCAGACCTGTACTGACACAAAGAAGACACGTCTGCCATATTGGCTAGCTTGCTGATTTCTTGCCTGGTCCCTCGTGGCACTTAAAGGAACCCTTCCTCTAGAAATATTCGATTCAAAATAGTTTCTTGTATGCTCGGGGATCCTAGTAGTTATCTAAACTTGTGAGCAGACTAAAAGTTCTTCTAAGAAAAATTTGCTCTCGTTGAAAGCCCTCACAGCCCAATTCTAAATGGAGGTAGACTGATCTTTCTTCTGGAGACCGGGCCTTAAATTCCAAAACAGAATGTAAGGCCTGCATCCTTCAGATTAGCATCCTTTCCCAATGGGCAACCAGACATACTTCAAACAATTTAAGAACACAATAGTGAGCTGAAGACAAACCAGCAGGCCCTGAGGATGTTAAAAACACAAAGAACCTGCCAGTACACCTTTCTACCAGCCTAAGTTAACCCTGTTAAGAAAGCAGGGAACCAGACACACAGGAACCACACTCGCTCCTTCAGAACAGTCTTCACTATTTTGTCCTCTGACTTTGCCTTACTGAGGGCTGCTATTTAGAACATCCACTCAAAGGAGGCTTCTGCATAAGCTGTTCATTGTTATCTAGTGTCTCTAACAACGCCCTGTGAAATAAATTAAAATTGGAATTTTCTACCAGAAAAATGTTTCTCTTTCCATCTAAATGTCATTGCTTTCTTTTGTCATGTAATAAGAATTCCATAACCTAACACATTTGTATTTCTGCCAGGAAACTCAGAACAAAATTTCTGCTCACTCTGTGTCTGGTAATGAATACTTCCTACTCTCTTTGCTAATCATTGTTCTGTTTCCGTCTGTTGTTGTTGCCTAGCTACGTACTTAGTTTGCTTTTATGAATTACTTTAAGGACTGTTTTGGACAAAGGGGTATTATACTTTAGATCAGATGTGTGCATGTAAGTACATGCACGTGCACACCCCCCCCACACACAAAGATACTGCTAGGTCCCCCTCAGGGCTGTCTTTTAAAGCTACCTAAAGAAAACTTGTGGAGCAGTGACTGCAGATGACAGACAGATCTGTTGTCTCAAGTAAGCAAGTACCACTCAGGACAGTGCAGGGAAGCTCGCTATTTTAAATGGTTTCCTACATCTGGTGAGTTCATTACCATGACAGCCTGAGAGGTGCTTCAACCCTCACTGTAATGGAAATGTTGCCATTGCCTTTTGTTCAGACTCTGAACTTCTAAGATCTGTGCAGGCACCACCTGAACTGACTTTAACCTCTACTCTGGCATTAGACAAGCAGCTGCGCAGGGATCACAGTGAACTTGTAAGTGCTTTGTGATGGGACAGATCCAGTGGTTTGGGTCTCAAATGCTAGATCCTAAAAGCATTTTTAATAAAAAGAGGTTTGGTAGATCTTATATGTGAATGGGTATCATGTCTCATTACATTTTTAGCCAAAAGAATTGCTGTCTTGAAAAGACAGAAATGGAATATAAAGAAATTAATCTAATTCAGGAAGTTCTCTGAACAGTAAGAGAAATCAAGCAATTATCCCTAGCAGGAGACAGAGTGCTGAATTGTTAAGCACCCCCAGCCCCCTTGCATTATGAAAGAAAAGGATTTGAAAGGCAGGATTAATAATGAGCAATACTTACACTTACACACCAATTTTTTAGGTTCTTTCAGTCTGCTCTTTAGAGAAATTAATTCTCTTGCACAGAGAAGGATGCAGAGACTAGAATTTCTAAATGGTTTGGTCAGTGTTGACAGAAACTACGCTTTCTAGAATATTCTTTAAAATTGTTCTTCTCATGGTCTATCTCTTCCTGAAATTCCTGATATTCAGCTTCCAAATGAGAAGTTTGAGACTTGAATCCAAAATGTAAAACTCTAGTATACCCACTTTAGAGGGTGAACAAGATTAAAGGAAATATTTTATATTTATCTGTAGGACACATCATTTCTTTTAAGTGGAGGGGAAAAAAACTAACCAAACAAAACACCTTGTTACTTTCAACATAAATTGTGAAGAAAATATTCCCAAAAGTAAATTTTGCTATCATAAATGTTGCTACAAGGGAAAGCTCTACAAAGTACAGACATGTACTTAACATTTACTGAAATAAAGGGAAAAAATGAACGTAGATGGAACCTTGACAGCCCCAAGGTCTGTAAGAACTAAGACAAAAGTAGCCACCTCCATGTGTGGCTTCTTGGGGAACAACATAGTAGGCTTTAGACTGAACTAGGCAAGTTCAGGGGCATTGAAAGATCTGCTGATCTGAAAACATGTCCCTAGCTGGCTGCAGAACTCCTCTGAAAGTTCTAAAAACTCATCTACCACTTCAGTAGAGACATTTTCCCCAGCATTTGCTCTGGTGTACCACAAACAAGCAGGTTTTCTTTCATAGGTAATAAGTGTGGCAGATGCCCTGAGTTTAGAGTGAACCTGAAATGTCTATTTGTGTAGGGAGGCAGGAAATAGGTTGGAAAGTGCCAGATACTGAGAAAAGCTACTGCCCAGGGTGTGAAGGCAGAGCTCTGAAAAGAAGGGGTAATGCCAAAGACCTACCAGTATGGTCACTTTCCTAATG